AAAAAAAAAAAAAAAGCCTGTCTCTTAGCCTAGTCCTTCCTCCCTCTGAAAGTCTCCTGACCCTTTTTCTCTGCCCCTGTGGTCTTGCCACAATCTCACATGGAAAAGGGGCTTCCAAATTGCTGTTTTGTTTTATATCTCATTTGAGCCTCCACACAAAGCTATTGGCTAGGTAAAACAGGCATTGGAGGAAAGAAAAAACAAACACTTCTCGAGTACCTGCTGTGTTAGAAGGGCTAAGTAACTTGCCCAAGGTTAGATAGCTAGTATATGGGAGAGTCAAGATTCAAACTTACAATAGATAGTCTGACTCCACGTCCCAACATCTTCCGTTTTCTTCCATTCTCCTGCTCACACCTCCCTCCACATCCTTCTCTTCCCTCCCCATTTCCATCGTGAGCTGCTTTACCAAGGCTTCCTGCACAGACCTCCACCTGGTGCCCTGTGCTCACCTGTCTGGTGTCGCCTCATGATAAGCCCCACCCTTACCTGGCCGGAGCCGGAGCGCAATCCTCTGGGGACTGACTTGAGTAGTCTGGGAGCTGTCTCCAGAGCCCTTGTCACTGAGGGGCCTGGCCTCCAGGATGCTCGCCTCACTGACGGGGAACTCGATGGACTCCAGGGCACAGTTATCTTTCAGCAAATTCTCCTTCAGGTTACAGCGGGGTGAGCCCGGAGTCAGGGCCTGTAGGACAGGAGCCCAAGGGGCAGCTGTGATCTGAGCAATGGTGGCTGTCTGCCTCCTGCATGCTCTGCCGCCTCCCAATGGCCTAGAGCTTACCCAGCTTCTTGGAGCTAAACCAGCATAAATGAACTCATGTGGTCCTTCCTAAGATAGTCCCGTGGCCCACTGTACAGAAGGAGGAAACTGAGGCAACAGAAAGGTTAGGTGAGTGCCTGTTCGCGGATTGGTAGCTAGGAAGAGAGCCAAAACAGTAAGCATCCTGTTAAACTCGCATTTTTCAAACTGTGACATGCAACCCACTTGTGGGCCCCCAAAATCAATGTAGTGGGTTTCAACTACAATTTATTAAACAAAACGCAATACAATAGGACAGAAAGTAGCAAAGTATAGAAATGGTAAAAGTAAATATTGCTTGGTGAAAAGTTTATATATTGGGGAGTAGGGTATAATATATATAATAAATAATGATATACAATGTATTTCTTTCTGGAGGTCAGGGTCAAAACAGTTTGGAAGCCACTGAGTTAAGACTCTGGCTAAGGTCTGAGATCCATGAGGGCAGGGACTGTTCCCTCTCTATTCCCAGCACCTAACCCAGGACTTAACATAAAGATAACAGGGGGAAGGAGTGCGGGGAGGCAGCCGAGCGTAGGAGCTAAGAGCACAGGACTAGGTTGGCTGGGACCACATCTCAGCATTGCCTCTTAACTAGCTGGTTACTTGCACAAGTCACCTAACTCTCCACGTCTCATTTCCTCAGCTATAACATGAAGATAATAAATAGTCTCAGCTTCACAAGGCTGTTATGCAGGACTAGATAAGAAAATACATTTAAAACACGTAGCATGGTGCCTGCCACAGGGTGAGTACCCAATAAATGCTAGCTATTATTATGAGACGCTCTATAAATAGTTTCTGTGTAAATTAATTTTGAATAAACTTCACAAGCTTGGGCAAATCCCATGATGCCAGGCTACTGGCCAGAGCCTATCCAATCCCTGTAAGCTTCCTTCCTCACCCTGGACCAAGAGTCAATTAAACCTCCTTCCAAAAACCCTGGCGTGTATCCCCCCCACCCTCTGGAGCTGTGTGTGTGTTTACACCTGAGTGCTGAACGAGGGACATGCTGCAATGAAAAGAACACTGGAAACCAGAAAACAGGTTCAGTCCTAGGTCTGACCCTAACTAGCCATGTGACCTCAGGTAAGTCATTTCACTCCTTTTCGCATCCGTTTCCTCACCTGTTTGATAAGGGGACTCACGACATGGTGTTTTCAGTCCCTTCCTGCTCTGACATTCAGCAAATTCAGCCAGCACTATGTGGGCGCAAGTCCGTTGAGGGCTCCTTGCCAGGTTGGGGAGACTGGCGGGAAAGCTGGAAACCCCCTCTCTGGACCTATTTCACAATATCTAGGCCTTCAGGCCCTCGAACCACCTTCCCATCCCAACCCACCCCTTCTCACAGCCGTTTCCAGGAGAAGTTGACTAAGCCATACCAATATCCCAGAACAACTAGCATTAACATTTATTGAGCACGTATTGCATGGCAGGCACTGTAATAAGCACTTTACATGGATTACCGCAACCCTCCTGATTAGAGTTCGGTAATGCTGAAACTATTATCATTTTATAAGTGAGGAATCTGAGGCTTGGCGGCTTCACACATGAGGAACCCAATCACACAGGTAAGAAATCTAAGGCTTGGAGAAGTTAAGTAACTTACCCAAAATTAACGGAGCTTCGAAGTGGCAGAAGTGAGACGCTAACTAGACTCTCTGACTGTAATTATCCTCACAAAATGACAAGGTGTATCACATTCTATACAGAGTGAGAATCGAGGCAGAGAAGCAGGAGCATGGAAACAATGGGCCCAGGAAGAGCCACCCTGAGAATGCCCCAGGTAGGGAATTGGATGCAAGATGGGGGTGTGGGAGGTGTGATAAGGACAGATAACAACGTTCTACCTCCTCAGTCCCCTCAGGTGACTGGTAGCCATATTTCCAGCAGAGGCCTTAGGCCACAAGGAGCCACCCATGTTTTTCAAATCAGGACTCTGTAGCCTAAAACCCTTCCTGAAGTTCAAAGTCCCTCTCCCTCTCCTGCCCAGTCCTCCTCTGATAGGCTGAACAGTTTCCTTACATGGATGGAAACAAGAACGATAGTTCCTATTCACCAATAGTGCTACAGACTGAATGTCTGTGTCCACCTGGATTTCGTCTGTTAAAACCCTAACCCCCAAGCCCCCGAGGTGACAGTATTAGGAGGTGGGGCCTTGGAAGGTGATTAGGTCATGAGGTAGAGCCTTCATGAATGGGATTAGCGCCCTTGGGCCGGGCCGAGTGGCGCGATGGTTAAGAACTGGCTTGGGACACCAGAAAGCCCCGGTTCGGATCCCACATATGAGGGCCAATGACACTGCCCTCTACAGCTGAGATGCTGAACAACAGCTC